ATTTATCGGTGACCAGCTGAGGGGGATCGGGCCGTCTCCATGTTTACTGAATGATGCACAGAAAATCACAACTCATTATCTTGTGAAAATGGCCCTCATTTTTTCAACATAACGACATGACTTATCTCAAGAAATTGATGATATCAGGAGCTTAGCCTGAGTACTTTACATTTTTGAATTCCCTGGTAGAATTTCTACATTTACGTAAATTCTGCTTTACCATAACTTCTGTTGTGACTTTTGCATTCTATGGACCCTTATGGGCTACTGTACTTTGTTGATACCAGAGGGAAATTAGTTATTACAGCTGCAACTGTTAAATGATTTGAGAATGAAACTAAACACTTTAGATTAAAATAAAAATAATAAAAGATATAAGTATGTACAATAGATACAATATGGTTAGTATCGTGTATACTGTATGTACCGGTACATACTGACAAGTGTGAGTTCAGGATTCAGAGCAATCAGGGACAAAAAAAATGTTTGAAAAGGGTTATTTGAAAACTGGTGTCAAGTGAATTTCTGGACCCTCTGGATGGAGCACTCTGTGGAGCAGGACACTAATGAGTGTCAGGAGCCGATATGTGAAACTTGTGAAAACAGGAAATGACTACTGACCTTTTTTTGGTGGACAAAAAGCCAGGACATATGGGTCCACAGTGGATGGTGATTTGAGAGGGGACCAATCCAAGTGAGGGAGCAGACTGGGTTCGGTGATGCAGAGGGCAGTCCAAGGTCAGAGCCGGGGGGTCAAAGACCCAACAACAAACCCAAAACACAACATAGTGGTGTCCAGAGAGCAGAAACAAGGTCAGAAGCCAAGGATCAGAGTCAGCATTATTACCAGACAAGGAGCAGGCAGGAGACGTGGGTCCAGAGACAGGCAGTGGGTCAGGAACCAGAGACCAGGCATGGGAAAATTGCTGGACATCTACTTGGTGAACCGTTCRATAATCTGGCAGTGAGAGACTGGACATGGAGCTTAAATAGGAGGCAGAACAGGTGGAACAGATGAAGGTGATTACTGTGGTAGTGAAACAGGGGGCATGGCAGTGAAACAGGGGGCATGGCAGTGAAACAGGGGGCATGGCGGTGAAACAGGGGGCATGGCGGTGAAACAGGGGGCATGGCAGTGAAACAGGGGGCATGGCAGTGAAACGGGGCATGGCGGTGAAACAGGGGGCATGGCAGTGAAACAGGGGGCATGGCAAGGAAACAAGTGCATGGCAGTGAAACAGGGGGCATGGCGGCGAAACAGGGGGCATGGCAGTGAAACAGGGGGCATGGCAGTGAAACAGGGGGCATGGCGGTGAAACAGGGGGCATGGCGGTGAAATAGGGGACATGGCGGTGAAACAGGGGGCATGGCAATGAAA